ACACAAAAACACAACAACACAAAAAAAAAACAACCCGGGGGGGGGGGCCTGGGGGGGCGGGGGGGCGGGGGCGGGGCAGGGAGGGAACGAAAGAAAGAAGATAAAAGCCACAGGGCAATGTTTGTTGGTAGGAAGCTCTCAATACAGAGACAAACCCCACCTGCAGTGGTATGACTGGTAAAGTGTGGGAACTTAAGTAGCACAGCAGTGGGGGCTAGTACACATCAAATACACCTTTGCACGCCTGCAGGACTCTGCTTTCTCTATGTGAGATGGCACAATCAAGAGCTATGGTATTGGGAGAAGCTCAGAGAGTGAATAATTCACCATCTGTTTATAACTGATCCTGAGTTATGCGTGAAAACGGGCCATGTAAGGATGAAGCGGGAGGAGGAGTTAGGAGAGCACGAAACAGGAGGACGGCTAAGGCTACAAAGGAGGCAGATGCGGTGAGAGGCGACCAGATAAAAGATACACTCTGAAGAAGCGCAGATAAGGAGGAGTGGATACATGTGGCATTAAGAAGAAAAATTTACATTTTTTTCTGCAAAGAATAAAGGGAATGTAGAAACCACATTCTGTCAATGAAAAAGTGTATGACAATGAAACACCTCGTTGTATCATATAAATGAAAGTCAATTTTGTAATTAATTTTTAAAAAAATAGTTTTAAGTAACATTTCTTCTTTATATCAGAAACAAGGATTGCTACATTCTTTGATCAGGGGCTTACATTGCAAAATGGCTGACTCTTCTTGATTCTCAGACCAGATTATAAGAAGCAGCACAAACATTGCCCTAGGAATGATGTTCTATACCAAAATGTAATATTTCTCATATGGGAAACATATAATCAAAACATTTTCATCATTCCTTTGACTCAATAAGTTATATATTTTTAGAAGCACACAGATAAGTTAGCTTATACTAAATTTTTTTTTACCAATCTCATTCTTCAAAAAGAATTCTTCTGTCTCAGAAAGTACAGAGAACTATGCTGGGACAGGATGGAGGCGCTAGGCTGGCTTGAATGTCCAACTGTACTATTATTTAGGAAGGCACAGTACCCAATTTAATTTCCTGTGATAGTCTTTTTTTTTTAAGATTTATTTTATTTGTAAGAGTACACTGTAGCTGTCTTTCGACACACCAGAAGAGGGCATCAGAACCCATTATAAATGTTTGTGAGCTGGAAATCGAACTTGGGACCTTTGGAAGAGCAGTCAGTGCTCTTAATCTCTGAGCCCCCTCCTGTGGTATTCAACCCCCTCCTGTGGTATTCTTTGTATTTAAGTATACCAATTCAAAGCCAGTTTCAGTAAGTCTGAATTTCAAAGCCAGTTTCAGTAAGTCTGAATGACTGCATAAAAATTTTCAAAACTCTCTAGTTTAGATAATCGAACCAACAATTTCAGAAAAGATGTCTAAGGAAGACAAACGGGGTGGCAGGAAGGCTTTGCGGTTTTTTTTTTTAAATGATCAGGGAAATAAAACGAGAGTACCTTGTAAATTTAACTTGAAAATACACATATGTTCCTACAGAACAATAAGCTAAAGAACGGAAATAGGAAAAGTAGGATGGACTATATGTATCTATATCCAAAGAACAATAATACTTAACAAACAGCATGCCTTTCATCAAGATCACCAGGGACCAATCTTCCCTGAAACCCTGAATGCTAGCAAATGCTAGACTGAGCAAATACACAATGATTTCGAAAGCTTTCTCAAATCTTAACTGAAGGCTCTAGCAGCACATTTAAAGTGTCACCAAGCATTTGTATTCCCAAAGCGTAGTTTCATCTATGGAGACAAACTTACAACTGATGAACCAACTCATGATCTTTCATTTTCTCTACACATCTAGCAAGTCCTACTTTTAGGGTACCAGGGCTTTTCTAACTGACAGCTTTTTTTCCTTCTTACATATATCTTAGTTAATGTTCAAGAAACTACATGCATTCTGAAAAAAAAATCTACTTGAATAATGACAAAGCTTGAATAAAAGTTATAGTCCTTAACAAGCTGACAATCTGCTTAGACAAATTTGTGAATGAACTTGGAAATTCAAATACAAGATCATGAGCTTGTCTAAGGAAAAGTGAGTGTGATGTCTGAACAAATCCTTAACCAATCAAACAAAGTAAAGTGGGAGAAGAGCAAATACAGAAAGACAAAAAACCTAGAAAAGGCTCAGTAAGGAAAGAGACCTGTGGAAATGGAACTTTCAATTCACCCAGGTGCTGCAGCACACATGATCCCAGCACTTGGGAGATAAAGCAGGAAGTTCTGGAATTCACCTAGGCCAGCTTTGGATACATGAAGCTTGATTCAAAAACAACACCCTGCCCTCCGCCTCCCACCTACTCCCCCCCCCCCAAAAAAAAATTCCCAGGCAAACAAACCCCTTTCTATTTGGGCAGCGCAGCAGGGTCTGGAGGGAAGTACTAGGTGAGAACAGCAGGCCCTTCCGTGCTAGGTCAACAGGGCAGAGACCAGGCAAAGACACAGCACACACTTCTGCCCATTTTACAGTAGCCCATGTGACCTCAGCAATTAGTCCAAGCTACTCAACCTCCGAATACTGACTCTAAGTATCTACAGCGTCAACATCATCTGCTGTAGCTTACTAGCTTGAGACACTCCCAACAGCATCCAAACAGGGATTTGGTCTTCACTCTCCTTAAATCTACTTTCCTCCATCCAAGCAATTTCAGTGAAAAGCTATGTTCATGAATCTGATCAAAGTTCTTCAACAAATAAATAAGCTTAAAGGCCCTCTGTAATCAATCTCTCTGACCTCTCTTCAAAAAAGCCTTCCCTCCCACCATTAAACTACGGGCAAACCTTCAGTTGCTCAAATTCCTTTCTACCCCAAAGCCTTTGTAGACCTGGCTATCTCTAAAGTGTCCTTGCTCACTGCTCAGTCTTCTTTGAAATTTTAATGCTAAATTACAAGGTCTGCGCCTCTTAATCAGTGAAAAGAAAGCACTTTATCTACCATAACCCTAATTGTAAAATCACTATCAGCTCTGACTCAGGCAAAGCCAGGTGGTGCTCACTCACATCTAACCCCAGAATTTCAGAGGTAGAGGCAGTTGGATCTCTAAATTTGAGCAGCCTGGTTTATATGGCAAGTTCGTGGACAGCTGGGGCTACACAGTGAAGACCTGTGGCAAACAAGCAAAGCTTATTCGTACTATCATTACAATGGTGAAAAGCTGGCAAACAATTAGTATTCGGTAAAACTCAGGACCAGAAGAAGTTCAGTAACCTGCTCCAGGCTATGCATTTGGTAAGTACGCAGATGGCTTTGATCCTGATCTATTAAGCATTTCCCCCATTAGGCACCATGGTAGACCCACAATCAAACACAAATACAACTTATCCTTTATAATGTGTTAAGGGTCAACATAATTATCAACAAAACGGAAGGTCCGTATTTTGTGATGAGCATAAAGCAAGCAAGGTAGCTACAATCACATATTACTACAGAAAGAGCCCGGTGCAAAACGATGGGCCGATTATACACCAGAGACAACAGTCTATACAACACCAATCATATCTGTTTTAAAGAAGTTCACATTAATTTTAGCATAAAAATAATTGAACAAAATAGTATTGTATTAATTTAAAGTAACTGCTGCTGGGCATAGACTTCAGGAGGCAGAGAGAGGAATTTGACAAAAAAAAAGAAAAAAAAAAAACCCAAACAATTGCTGGTCTGAGGCTGCCTGAATTTGACCAAAAAAAAAAAACAAAACAAAAAACCCAAAAAAACAAAACAAACAAACAAACAAACAAAAAACAAAAGCAACAACAACAACAATGACTGGTCTGAGGCTGTTGCTGTTGTAGGGTTATGTTTAGCAAGGCCCTGGGTCTGAGTTTCCGCACTGTGGTACTAGAGGGGGATTGTGGGGAGGGGATGGGGGAGAATATAAAGAGGGGAAAAAAGTAAGAAAAAAAATTACCCAAGGAGAACTTCAAGTAGAAATGAATACAAAAATTAACATATACCAATTTTCTACATTTCAAATAAACTATTACTTTCTAGAGTGAACTGAATTTAATCTTTCAAGAAATTAAGATAACTGTAACCAAACACTAAGTTTCATTATGATGCTAATAATCCAAACTCTGGCTTCCCTTTGCTGGAGAAAGTCAGCTATCTTCTAACAGTAACAAGGCAGCTGACCCTCAGATGTGGATGCCTCTGCAGCACCAGCCCTTGAGGTTTCGACATGCCTAACTAACAAAGAAAGGCCTTGTCTCAAAACAGACAAAAACCCAGAAAAGAACAAAACTCCTAGACAGCACCACAGCCAGCCAGAGCCCACATCTGCACTAGCATGCTTCACTGTTTCCGGGGCACCCAATGTGTTCCTCCTCCTATGGAATTTGCACTGGGAGTGCTCGGGGTGTGGAAGAGATTGGCAAACCTGCCCCTTTCTTAGCGTTTATACGGTATGTTGGCAAGTTACTTTAATTGCTAATACAGAATTTAACTTGCTTTGTCAGTTCAATATACTCCACAAACACACAGGTTCTCTCCTGTCTACCAAGTAGGGAAAAGGTATATACACAACAACAAATGTATCCAACTTTACCAAGAAGTATTAATTAGTACTGGAATCTATTCATGAGGAAGGACCAGAGCCTATCAGATTAAATCTTACTGCACGGGTGCTAAATTCCAGGTCATTAAAACTATGTGAAATATTGTACTGTTGCAATATTGTAATAAAAGATTTTTGACTTAGCAAGATACTAAGATTTTCAACCAGTTATCTTGATTCTCAATTTTTACAAATAGTTCTATTAATTTTTGAGACCCCCCTCCCAAATTTCAGCCAAAAATTAGTTCTAACTTCTGAGGCAAATTAATAAATAGCCTAGAAATCAAGGCAAACAATGTCATTGTTTTAGTAAATGTAAAACGTTCAATAAAAAAGTAACAATGGGCAAATAAACGCTGGAGATGGCAAGGGACGAAATACAGGAGACTGAATGGATGCTTTGTTGAAAACCCAGGCCTTGGCAAACAAGACACCTGTGTCTATAATTTTGGAGAACGCATGTCTTAATAGTCCTTTCCGAGAGTTTCAGAAATAGTCTGTATATACATTTTTGAATAAATAATACAAATGGAAGTCTGTCCAAGGTCTGAAAGCAAAGGTGAGAAGAGATAATCTTCTGAATCTGAACGTTGGCGTCTGGCGCCTGGAGCTGGCTCTCTGGATGGCATTTCCAAACACACACGCAATAGCCATGCAGGTGCCCCAGAAAGCATTAGCCAAAACGCCTCCTCCTAAAATTTGGTCATGATTCAAAGTGAATAAACTCATTTTGTGGGTTTTTTTTCACATTTTCTTAAATTTTTACTTATCAATAAGCCTTATATAGGTCCAAATCCAAATCATAAAGCACTTTGAAAGAAAACTATACATTATAGAAGCAAAGCTCCACACCATGTAACCATGTTCATCTATGGGAGAAAAGCTATGGTTCATCTACCCACTAAAGAATCAACTTTAACTAGTACTAGACCCTGATTCAAAACCTCATAAGTCAGCCTAAACTTACTCAATACTTCCTCCTTAAAGACAGAGTATAAAAAACGATAAAATACAAATGAGAGGACAAGTTAACAGCAGAAAAGCTTGAGTTTAGAATACAAGACAAACCTTCTATGCAACAAAAAGATAATCTGTTTCAAGTCTCTTAAGGCATTTCTTAAAAGGAATGTGGAAACTGGCCTGATACTTTGTTGAGGGGTATGTGTTCCTACATGGCTCTCAGAAAAAGTAAAGCTTTAGAACTTAAAGGAGATAAACCACTGAAAAAGTTAGCGTTTTAAAGAGTGTAACACCAAGAAAATACTTCAACTATCCTAGGTCTTAATGAAGAATTTGTTTTCCTAGGTTTAATTGCAAATGTCTTGTGTGCTCAAGGATCTGCACATCACAAGATATGAATTACAGGGAACAAAGACTCTTCAAAAGCACTTGTTGAACTGTGTGTAGATGTCGTGCCTTAACTGCTCCCTACTTACTTTGTTAACGTTTCAAACCCAGAATGGCAGAATGTCCCAGGCCTCCTGTCATGGCTGCAAAGGAAAGCATGTTTGGAATGTCTCTTCTGGGGAGTCAAACCATAGCTACCTGGTTAGCACTCCAGGAAAGCCAGCACACACTTAAAGCTGTGAGAAGCTTTAAGAAACTTTAAAGAAACTCGCCACCGCATCAGACTCATAGGGCAAACTAGTGGTCTGTGAATGTCTTTCCTGTTTTCTTAGCCTCTTTTCTGAACACTAGACTTTTATCTAATAAATTACATGATAGCTTTATGAAGAAAACACAAAAAAACATTTCTAAGCAAAATGACTCACTGGCAAGACAGCCCCACCCACCCTCAAAATATCAATGAATAATATACCACTGTTAACCCCAGCTTTCCCCGCCATATACTCACCTGTGCAACTTCTTTCAACATTTGCTACTCTGGGGATGGGAAAGCTCAGAGCTGGAGGCTGAAGTGAAGAAGGAAAGGTTGGAGGGTGAGCCATGGCACCAGCCCCACACTAGGAGCTCCCCTGAGATATTACAGCAGGGTTGACACCATAGCTCTGAAGTTCAAACTCCAGCAAACGATAAGAAAGGAGTCCAACCAGAACATGATAAACGATGGGATTCTTCTGCTCTTTGAAAAATAAGGAAATCATGCTATAAAGATCTGAATGTCCAGTTTCAACATTATGACTCCTGTCGTCTCCCCATATCACCCACCCCAGAGTCATCTTTCAGATGCTTCAGATGAATTCAAACAACCAAAAGGGCAAAGCTCTGAACACTTCCCCAAATATGCAAGGACAGGGGCTTACCTGGCCTTCATGAAATCATGCTAGTGAAGTGTGTTCAAAAATGCTGCCTAGCCACGCCTTACACACTCTTGCTCTCTTGAGTGCTCAATATTAACTCTATGCTCGTGTCATGTTAACACCATCAGTCAACAAAGTGAAAGTTGGATTACACAGCTAGATTGAACCAGTGAACGCTTAAAAATGAGAGACCTTTTGGTTTAATTATATTCCTTGGGAAGAAATTAATTCCTCAAGTGTTTCTATGTTGATTAAAGAAAACAACTAAGGACCTGTCCACCAGAGAGTGACTTTAATCAAATAATGAAATGTTAGAGTACTTTAAGTCGGGTGAGGCAATGCAAACCTGTGGCGTCAGCACTGCAGATGCTGAGGTAGGAAGGTCAGTGTAAACTGACACCAGCATTTTAAAACAATCTGATGACAGAAGATGAGATTTTTAAATAAAATATTAAATTTACTCACTTTGGGGAAAGAGTGCCACAGACTGAACCCAAGGCTGTGCACATGGTAGGTAAGTGCTTTACACTACTATACCCCATCCTAGTGGAAATTTACATTTTTCACTCACATGTGTATATTTAATAATATAGAAGTTAAATGATTTAGAAATACATTCTATTAAATGTGTGCTATTTCAAAATGGTAATCAATAATATGACTCACTGAAGATCATGTTATCCTAAAATTCTTGTATTTAAAAATAAACACACATACACACATACACACACACACATATATATATATACACACACAAACACACACACACACACACATACACATCAGAATTCTGAATTAGGTATAATGGAGTTAAAAACGTGTATTCCTTCAATGAGGGAAGATGGTTTAAAATACATCTAAATACTTGGTCACATAAATTATTTTAGCAAATGTTTATTCAGCATCTGCTATGTCAAGTTCTGGATGATGCATACCATACTTCAGAATTTTCTCCACAGAACAGAGGAACGCTGCAAATAAACGGTAGTGGAGACAATTTAAAGTGGCTGCCTGCACCGGTGTGGGCTCCTCTCCTCTCCTGTGGCCTACCCTTGTTACCTCAATTCCCTGGTTACCACTCTCCCCTCCTCTTCCGGCTCTCCTGCTCCACTGGCCTCGCGCTGTGGCTGCTCACACACAGGAGCTAGCAGGCTCCACCCCAGTGTATAGATCTGGTACTGAGCAGCTCCCTCAGACAGACCCGGCTATTTCAGCTGCTCAATCACTTGTCTACATACACTAAGTTTTACTACTTGGTTTTTGTTGCTGTTATTTTGTGTTTTGTTTTAAATCCCAGACGTTACCTAGTCCTTATGTCTTTCATAACACCAACACCATGTCACAAACACTGGAGAATGTCTCCCTATTTTGACTGAAATATGCATTTGAATGCTTCACCATCACAAAAGTGTGATGTCCTTCTTGTGTTTCCAATATGCTAATGTATGATGCTAACATTTATTCCAGGTGGTGTTAGCCTTGACCTCGGTTGAGTTGGTCCATCAACCAGCTTTCTCTACTGTAAAAGACTACTTCAGCATAAAAAAATAGTGTTTGGATAGTGGATGAGCCAGGGAAATTATCACCCTGATAAGAGCTTTATTTGTATATGATGGTGCTTTGTACTGAAAGCAAACAAACTCTGAGGCGTTATTAAAGAGTAAACTGCAATTTTAATTGAGACAAACAGGAAAAGAGACATTTAATCTACATAGGTTTTCTCTCATAGCCTTTACCTTTAAATTAGAACATTTAAGGCACACAGGATGACATCATCATGGTGACAAGCAACAGTGTTTGGAGAAGGACTTCCCACTAAGGAAGGCATCTGCCCACCCATGCTGTTGCAGCCCTGCTGCTCACCACCCCCACTCCACATTTGTTAAAGCAAGTGCTTTTGTAAAGAAAACCAAGTGTCTTTAGAAGACCTCACTCTTAAGTCTCAACAGTGTCAATGACTGTACACAATCAGCCCACAAGACACCAGCGGAGATGACAGTACCAGCTCGCTTCCTACTCTACCTATCATGCTGGTAAAGCATTATCTTATCACAGTGCTGTCATCCTGGCAGAAAGGATTTAAAACTCCATATGCCAAAATCCTGACCTTAGCATTTCTTTTTTTTTTTTTATTTTTTTTTTTTTTTATTTTTTGGTTTTTCGAGACAGGGTTTCTCTGTGTAGTTCTGGCTGTCCTGGAACTCACTCTGTAGACCAGGCTGGCCTCGAACTCAGAAATCCGCCTGCCTCTGCCTCCCAAGTGCTGGGATTAAAGGCGTACGCCACCACCGCCCGGCTGACCTTAGCATTTCTTGTCTTAAATATGGCCTTTACATTTTTCCCTTGAAAAAAAAAAATCTGCTTTTTATTAAAAATTATAACTTATGGGGGAGAAGAAACTGTGGTCGCAATGTAATATATGTGAGAATAAATCAATTAAAAAATTAAGAAACACCGTAACTTCAGCCAGCAGAGGAAAGGACAACTGTTTATGAGCCTAGTACATACTAGAGTATATGGAGTAGGAAAATTCAAAGAAAAAGGTCTGGTTTTGTGCTTTAGGTTAAATAGATCAGGACATGACAACTTGAATTTTATTTATCAATATATAGTATGTTGCTTTCCAAATGATATTTTTAAGTGCTCAGATCTGGTGTGACAATTTTGAATTGTATCTTATACAGTGTCTTTTACAACAGAAAGCATCTGAGCCAAAAGCACTAGCACAAAATCTTATTCTTACTATTCAGAATGATTCATTTAGCTTCTCAACTAATTTGTCATGTCAAAGAATTAGCTATTAAGACTTACAGTCCAACTAGGATGGACTAACAGGAAAAATCTCTTCTCACAAACAGTATAAAAATGGATAAAATACAGAGGCAAGAAAGATTGGTAGGTCAAGGCCTGCCCCTCGCTTAAAAAAAAAGAAAAATAGAAGAACTATTCTAGCAATAGTCACTTATGTTCCCAGATGGCAGGGCAGGAAACACTAACTCAAGGGACAGAAAAACACTAGCTTAGTAGTTGAAGAAAACCAGCCCTACCTAAAATCTATTGTTTCTCTTTAATGATTTTTAAAAAAGGGTAGAGGTAGAGACAAGAGAAGGGTCTCACAATGACCAGATGTTTCTAAGTAATATAACTCCATCCATACCCAGCAAACCTCAAGAATTTTAACACAAATATAAAAAAATAAATAAGACAACAAAACAAAACTATGGGGGGTAGGGACACAACTATGCAAATGAAGTCAGAGTGGAGAACATGTAGGAAAACCTCCAAAAATCAACAGAAACATTCTATTGATTCCAATGACAGAGATGGCAGACTTAGTGGACAGGGACACCAGAAGAGCAACCAGCATGCTAAGTCAGAGCAGGAAGACACAGTGCTCAGAGACCTACTCAAGAAAGCATGCAAGGGAAACAATGGTAAGGTGGGAAATGGAGGGAGACCTTCGGCGTAACTTTTCATGTAAGTAACTGCATCAGTTGAGGGAGGACCAAAATGAACAAACGAACAAAGCAAAGCCCAAAGAAACAAAAAAGCGTTTGATAAAAACCATAAACACAAGAAATTTCAAGCACTGGTGTCATGAAGAAAATTATGTCAGAACCAAAACATACATTAAACATTTATCATAATAAAACAAAAAATCTTCTTAACCCTTAATAGTGTCCAAAGAGAGAAAGATATACACCAATAATTTTTTTTCACTAGAAATAAGTGAGAAGACAGTGGAGTGCCATTTTAGAATACTGTGGGCAGGCTAATTGGGTCTCACAGCACAGGCATCCCTAATACTCTCATCTACCTGGTTCAGTCCAAGCCCTGGGATTACAGGTCTGTGCCGCCATGCCTGGCTGGCATCCTAGTTTTAAGATGCTAAAAGAGAAACTACCAATTTTTATTTTCTTACTGAGCAAAAATATTTTTTAAATGAGAGTAAAATAAATTTTCACACACAGGAACCCTAATTCATCACCACCAGAAATGCATTTGAGTAAGAAGAAAAGGATACCCCAAACAAAGCATGAAAAGGGTGAACAAGAGAAAGAAATGGGAGAGAAAAAATAGAAAAGGAAAAAGAATAGATAGGAAAGGTAGAAAATGAAGGAAAAAGAAAGAAGTCAAAGTATTAAATTATGGATACCAAAAAGCAGAAAACCAGAATTACTCCCCTTCAAGCAATAAATAATGAAAATATTGTAAGAGATGCAAGGGCAAGATGTTTCCTTAAAAGTGAGCTTTTAGTCAGAGCCAGAACACAAATATGTATGTATGTCAGGACAGCAGACACTGAGTTCTAACCACACTCCAGGAAGTGGCCCTCCAACCGACCACACGCCACTACCTACTTAGTGTTTAACCTCCTGTCAGTAGCGTTCTCGGACGGGAGTACATGAGCAAAGCAGTAAAATGTAGTAAGCGTGAACATTACGAAATGAATGGGCTCTGAACATGGAAGGGACATAGAAAAATACAGAACCCCAAAACATTTTCAACTTATAAACAAATAACAGGCATCATACTAACTCTATGTTCTAGCCACAAAGGGGACCACAGAAAAACTCAACAGAAAGTAAAAGAAAAGGTTGATACCTATCTGAGGCCAGCTGGCCATATAGTGCTAACTTGTCTCAGAGACA